AGTTATAAAGAAACTCTAGAAACATAGTGAACATGGCAGCTTACAACATCAAAAGGAATTTTTAAGGTTCTAAAATAACAAAACACAAAACGAACAAAAATTTCTGGACAAGGGGCACCTGGGTGGCTCAGTCAGTTAAGCGTCAGGTTCAGGTGATGATACTGGGGTCCTGGGATCAAGCCTTGCCTCTAGCCCCCTGCTTAGCAGGGAGTCGGCTTCTTCTCCTTCTGTCCCTACCCCCAGCTCACGCTCTCTCTCATTCACTTTCTATCTCGAATAAATAAATAAGTAATAATCTTGAAGATAAAAAATTTTTCAAAACCAAAAATTTCTGGACAAGAGAAAGAGTAAAAACTTAAAATTATTAAGAAATGCACAAAAGAAAAGATCAATGTATTTAGCTCATACCTAAAATATTATGTATGTCAGTGTCCAATATAAATTTAAAAGACAAACAAGAAATTAGGAAAATTTTAATCATAAAATGAAAACACTAAAAGTTATTATTCTTAATATATTTTGAAATACAAACTGATAATAAAACAAAAAGATATTAAATAGGGGGGTGAAATATACTGTTTGCTAATTCACAAAATTATAAATACAAATAGGTCCTATAGGTATAAAAAATAGCATATTAGGAATAAAATGCAAATTATATTAATAAGATGGCATTGTCTTAACCGACTAATGTTTAGCCTAAGTATTTACTCTTTATTACTGACATTGAGAATACAAGAAAATTGTCAGTTTCGCTCTACTGGTGCTTTTGTAAAATTGTAGAATAGCATCAGTCATATTTTAAGAATGTCTTTACAGATGACAATCTATCTCTCATTGTCTACAAATGTCTGACTGCTTCCAGTGCAAATCAATCCAGTCAAAAGTGTGTGCACCAGGAACAATAGCTGGTGAGACACATTAAGAGCCATGGCCAATTAAAATATTTCTCTCATAAATATAGACTGAGTAGCAGCAAGATAATCTTTTTGCCTGGCTAAAAGCTTAAGGCATGATCTGGAGATAGATGGAGAATCTGCCAGGCTGCTTTGCAGAGATAGAACCAAAATAGTGACAACACCAAATGTTGACAAGGATGTGGAGCAAAAGAAACTCTCATTCATTTCTAGTGGGAATATGAAATGGTATAGCCATATTGCAGAACTGGTAGTTTCCTTTTTTGTTTTTAAAGATTTTATTTATTTATTCATGAGAGACAGAGAGAGAGAGAGAGAGAGGCAGAGACATAGGCAGAGGGAGAAGCAGGCTCCCTATGGGGAACTTGATGTGGGACTCAATCCCAGGATCCAGGTATCACACCCTGAACCAAAAGCAGATGCTCAATTGCTGAGCCACCCAGGGATCCCAGAAAACTGGTAGTTTCTTACAAAACTAACCATACACCTATCATGCAATCTTATAGTCACAGGCCTTGGTATTTACCCAAAGGGATTGAAAACTTAACATCTACACAAAAATCTGCACACAAATGTTCTTAGCATCCTTATTCATAATTGACAAGACTTGGAAGCAACAAGATGTCCTTCAGTAAGTGCATGGGTAAGTCAGTTATGGTGCGTCCAGATAATGGATTATTATTCAGCACTGAAAAGAAATGAGCTATCAAGTCATGACAGACCTGGAGGACTCTTAAATGCCTATTATCAAAGTGAAAGATGCCAATCTGAAAAGGCTACATATGATGAAGTTCAAACTATATGACACTCTGGAAAAGGCAAAACTATGTAGACAATGAAAAGGTAAGTGGTACCAGAAGCTCAGGTCATGATCCTAGGGTCCTGGGATCGAGTGCTCAATGGGAAGGCTGCTTGAGGATTTCTCTCCCTCTCCCTCTGTTCCTTTCCCCATTTGTGTGCTCTCTTGCTCTCTCTCAAATAAATAAATAAATCTAAAAAAGGGGGGTGCAGGTAGTACCAGGTGTTAGAAGGGAGGTTACGAATAGGCGGAGCACAGAAGATTTGTAGGGCAGTGAAACTTTTCTGTACTTTTCTGTTATTACAATGGTAGAATCAAGTCGTGATACATTTGTCAAAATCCATTGAATATATTAGAAGACTGAACTGTAATATAAACTGACTTCAGCTGATAATTCTGTGTCAGGGTAGACTCATCAATTGTAACAAATGCAGCACTCTGGTGGGTGATTTTGATAGTGGGGAGGACTGTGCATGGGGCAGGGGGTTTATGGGAATGCTCAGGACTCTGTCCAGTTTTGCCATGAACATAAAACTACTCTCAAAACAAAAGTTTTTTTAAAAAACAATTTGGGAATTTTTTTTAGGAACTTCAGTAAGTCAATTGGAGTAGGACAATCATTATACAGTTTCACTCATACGGGGAATATAAGAAATAGTGAAAGGGATTATAGGGGAAAGGAGGGGAAATGAGTGGGAAAAATTAGAGAGGGAGATAAGCCATGAGAGACTCCTAACTCTGGGAAATGAACAAAGGGATAATGGAAGGGGAGGTGGGCAGGGGGATGGGGTGACTGGGTGACGGGCACTGAGGGGGGCACTTGGCAGGATGAGCCCTGGGTGTCATACTATATGTTGGCAAATTGAACTCCAATAAAAAAAATATGTATAAAAAAATAAAAAAATAAAAGTCTTATAAGACAAATTCAGTAATCTCACTTCTAAGAATCTATCCTACAGGAGGATATTTAGATTATATTGTAAAATACAGATTATATTGTGAAAAATGCATTGTGTAAAAATTTTGGAGAAAAACATTCATTGCATTGTTATTTATAAAAGTAAAAAGCAAAAGGTGATATAAACACCCAACAATAAAGAAATGGTCAAATTGTAATAGATCCATACAACTCAATATTATGCAAAATCACAATTGTTTACAAAACTGACTTTAAAACCTGATGAATTAACAGTTGATGGTACTAAGTGAGAAGGCTGTAGTGGAAATGTCTATTTTCTGGCTTCATGCAATTTTAACTGGGGCATTCTGGTTTGCATTTCACAGCCCAAACAGTTAAAAATTTAAAAACTTTTATTAAAGAGATGATGTCAAAGATTCAACTGTAGTATTTTAGATAGTATGACAAACTGCTGGGAAAGCTTTTTGTTTTGTTCAGGGAGATTTTACAGTGCCCCTCATTATCTACCATTGTGTTGATATACTTTATCAGCATATTCCAAGGACTCTATCATTTAGCTTATTTTTAGAAATATTCAATCCCCAATATGTTTATTTTTATTTAATTTTCTTAATAAATTATCTTTATAAAGACATTAAAGCCCCCCCCTTTTTTTTGCTTATGTAGCCTGAAAATTTCATAAATTCTGTCAGAATAAAATAAATACTTTTGATTACCTGTAACCTTCTTCTCTCATTTAGAGAAAATTAATAGAGTTTAAAAGATACAGGATTTAGGGGACGCCTGGGTGGCTCAGCAGTTGAGTGTCTGCCTTTGGCTCAGGGCATGACCCCGGGGTCCTGGGATGGAGTCCCACTCCGGCTCCCTGCAAGAAGCCTGCTTCTCCCTCTGCCTGTATCTCTGCCTCTCTTTCTCTGTGTCTCTTATGAATAAATAAATAAAATTAAATCTTTAAAAAAAAAGATGCAGAATTCAGAATGAAAAAATATGTCACTCTCACAATAAATATTTTTCAAGCAGTATCTAATGATTTGGGTAACCTTACATCTTCCTACAAAATATCAACTGGTTATTAGCAAAACACTTGAGTTGCAAGTTTTTTAAAAAAGTATTCTTATCAATATAAACATTAGGTTTAGCACAAAAAACGAACTTCAAATTATCTTGAAACATTCCATAATACAAAATTTCAAAAAATCTAATGAAGCATGGCCTTGTTTATGTCAATAATCTCTATGCCTCTTGGTTTACTTCTGTCTGCTATATTATCCCTAGCATACATTCTGAAAATGGTATTGCATTCCCTCATTTATTTATAGAAATCATGATCATTGAACTTCATGCTAATATATTTATCTTTGAATGAACTGTTTGTGGTATATGTGTGTGTGTGTGTATACATATATTTTTTCATGCTTACATAATGTCAGTATTTTCACGTGGAAGGTTTACAAACCCCAGTGCTACTGTGGTTACTGCAGGCTCTGGAGCAGAATGGTTAAGATCAGGGGCTCTGGAACAAGCATAGTGAGGATGGGATGGTAAATAACACACAGATGTGAGATTTGCATGACATGAACTGTAGAAAGTGCCTAGAACAGTGTCCAATAAGGGCTTCTTACCAAGCCCATAGTTAGAATGAATTAAGTGTTCATGCTTAATGAGTAAATTGAAATCAAGGGAAAGAGACTGTCATTCATGTCTGTCTTCTCTACACAGTACTACAATTTTATTCAATATTTTTCTATTTTCTATTTAGAACATACAAATTAGTTTACATAATTTTTCAAAATTGCATTGTTGAGTCTGAATCAATAGGTGGCAATATAGTCATTGTCGTATTTAGTCTTCTATGCTCTTTCAATTTAAACTTACAGTTTTTAAAAAGTTTTTGTAGTGTTTCTGTTATTTTACAGACTTAATAAGAAGTTATCAAAAAGAATCTCCTATATAAAAATCTGTTATTGTGTTAGTAACAAAAAGACACCTAGCACTTTTCAATTCATTTTGAGATTATTTCTTGGTGGGACATTTATTTCTAAAGTTCCTGACTCTTTTCTAAAGTTCTCAAAGTCTCGGATTTCTCCCTCTCCCTCCACCTGCACCCCAGAACCAGGTTCCCTCTTGGGCATGGATTATGTTTGGGCGAGAAGGAAGGCAGTTCGGATTGATAAAGCAATACCCCTGGGAAAAGACGATTAACATGTATAAAGGGATTTCCCCGCAGTATAAGCGCCAGCACGCGCTCCCGGGCGGCGGGCCCTCCTGATGTGTCTGCGCAGGTAGCGCTGGACCGGCCCTTTGAAGCGGGGATAGAGTAACACTGACCCGGGCAGCAGCAGTTCTCCTCAGCTCTCTCGTGGGAATGAGCTGCCAACCCTTTACTTCGGCCGACACCTTTCTACCCCTGAATTCTGAGGCTTCTGCAGCCCTGCCTCTGATCATGCACCCCAGCGCGGCCGAGTGCCTCCCAGGCTCCAACCACGCCACCAACGTGGTGTCCACAGGTACCGGGGCCACACCTGTCTGCGCGGTCAGGGGCCTACAGATTGCAGAGCTGATGCCTGGAATCTGGCTACTGTAGGATCCCTTTGCGTCTTTTATTTTCCCCTTCATTTTAATTCGTTTTAAGTTAAACAGTAAGGATATTGAAAAAGCCAGGCAACCTAAGAAATTTTTGAAGAGTATTATTAAGTGTGGACATTTTAAATGTTGATTTTATTATAAAACCACTCTTTTCTACAAAGGTAAACCGTGAGTCTGAGTGTTTTTGATCCCAAAACCATCTTTATGTAGACATTTAGGGAGGGATAAGGAACAAAACTAAAGAAATGGACTGAGCAATTTAGTGTTTAAAAGGTGTTACTTCTTTATCTTCTTTAAAGATTTATTTGTATTACCACGCCTAAAAATAGCCATATACCGCATAGTAAACACAACTGAATGATTCCCAATACCAGCAACAAGGGATTTCAAAGAATAATATAATTAAATGATTTTAACAGACATTTTTAGCATAATTCAAAAATCAAAAATCAAAGCTAGAAGCAGTATGTGGCATTTAGAACCCACAAACTGGGTGAAAATATCTTAAAACCGAGTTCTGAAGAGAGTACAATCTCTCTAGCCAAGTTTTAATATTTTCTTATGTGACTTTCTAACATATAAGTTAAGCTTGAAAATTTGAATATGTTGTCTTAGATGCAATCAAATAGGTATGTGTTGCTAATGCATCCGTTACAGGGTAACAAAGTTTTTTAAAGTAGCTTTATGAATAGACAAAGCCATGAGTTGAGTAAATTTCTTTCATATGTAAGTTTGGGATTAATCTGCAGCTGAATTTTTAAAATCTAGAGTGTATATCTGGATTTTGGTGAAATTATTAATATAGAGGTTTTGTTTTGTTTTTCATCTATTAAAGATTCTCATAATTTAAATAAAAAGACAATAGTGGAAGTTTCCCAAACATATTTTTTAGAAAATATAATATAGTATTTTAACCAAAAATACTTATAAATAAACTTAAACAATGATCACATAACTAACTATATATTTAAATAACAGATTTCTCTGTTCTGAATATGTATTTAAATAATAGGCATTTAAATATATGATAATAGCATTGATTTTATAAATTTTCCATCAAATGATACTATACTAGGTAAGAAACTATAATCATTGTTTATAATGAGAAGAACATTTGGGTTTATTTGTTTAATTTTAGATTGCATAGTAAGATTTTTACATGTAATCATTATAATATAAAATATCATTATAATGTAAAATGACTTCAGTTCTTTCTACATGTTAATTATAAAATGGAAATTGTGCAGATATTCTAAAATATTGAAGATTTATCAATAGTAAGAGAAAATATTTTGCTTCTGAAGTGACCACGTCTTTATTTTTTATTTTTTATTTTTTTACCGCATGTCTTTAATTACTGGATTGTATCTCAATATTTTCAAAGGATTCTAATTCTATATTTTATAATATCTCAAATGAGAAAGTAAAATACATAGAGAAACAGTCCTTTTATTGTCAACACCTAAACTCTTATTCAACTTGGTGATTCATGTTTAAAGCCTGATAAAAATTTAGTGATGTAAATTTACTTTCATTATTATGAAATTGATTCCACAAGGCAAGTAACTATTTGTGAATGGTTATATTTATATATGAGGTACAACCTTTATAGATTTCAAGTCACTCAGCAATCATTTATTTTTAACCAGCTTTATTATTGGAATTGTTGAACTGATTGTTTGCATGCAGAAAACCTATCACTTCTTGGTTTCAGCATCAACATTAACGCATCATACATTGTCACAGGTTTTCCATAAACCTCTGAATTTAGTGGGATTTTTATGATTGTATCCATTTATAGGCTAGTTGCTTGGCCATTTTCTCTTTGATGGAAGAAATTTGTTAGAATAAGCAGAAGTAAAGACTGTTCAAGAGTTGATTTCTGTATTCATTCTTCCAGAGAAAGACCACATATAATACCATATTACAAAAGAATTTAAATTGATTATTCCTCCAGTCAGTTTATTGTAACATCTATATGGGATGGAACCTACAAGAATTTTGCAACTCCCAAGTGGCCAACAGCCAAACTGGTCAGTTACCCCTTCACAGAGCACAGCATAGTTAATGAATCCTATCATCCACACTGATGATTTAGGATCTGATTACTTGAGACAAACTTTGATTTCTGCTTTTAACCTACATACATCAGAGAATTTCCCCCAAATGAAAACAAATTACTGCCATATAACTTTAAGAATCACATAAATGTGTATTTTTGCAATGAAATGAATGTGTCTTGAATCCTCATACATTTTCTTATCAGTCCCGTCTATTTTGTCTTTGATCCAAACTCCTAAATGTTTGCATGCATATTTCTTGGTGACAATGGGAAACACAGCAACAGGACTTCATTATTCTGTTCCTTCCTGTCATTATGGAAACCAGCCATCTACCTATGGAGTTATGGCAGGTAAGAAAAATTGTCTGCATATATGAGATTGAGTATGGGGACACTTAGAACCTATTTCTTGGATCTGAGGGAATCTTGACCAGAGCGTATCACGAAATTCTCATCTCCTAACCTTAGAAATCATTGGTAAATCCCTGTGTTCCCTGATACGGAGTGCCTTCAGAGACCATAATGGTTAAAACTTGATTGTCCCTGTTCTATATAACCCTGAACTTCTGTGCTTAACTCTTTTGTTTGCTTTGTATGATTTTTACTTCTAATTGACTACTACCAAACTGCTGATTGTCACTTGATGTTATTGGTGGGCTCAATCCAGTAATAGTACAGTAGTGACTAACCTCATTTGGTAATTTAAATTTAAACATAAATTAGCTAAATAAGGCCAGATTTAAAATTGAGTTCTTCAGCTGCACTAGCCCCATTTCAAGTGCTTAATAGCCTCATGTGGCTATCAAAGCAAACATCACAGATTTATAAAACATCCCCTCACTGCAATATTTCTTCTGGACATTTGGTCCATAAATATAAATAAGACATTGAAAGTCAAGAGTAAGTTGTAGTGGCTTTAGTGATAGTCATTTGTAGTTTTGGCATCTCTAAGCTATTGTTAGTCTTAAATGAGATTGAAGAGTTGAAGTTACTTATGTTTCTTCTCTGGATAAATAAAGCATCACTAGATCAAGGTTAACTATTTATTGATGCTTGGATGAAAGCAGTGATAACACATTCCTTAAGGAAGAGGAAAATCTGACCTAATCTTCATAATGAAACTTACAACTTAATTTTAGGATATGGCCAGAAAAAAGATTTTGATGGTTTAATAAAGTACACAATTTTGTTCACATATTTTTTAGCTATTTTTGATCTTTTATATTCATTTTTGTAGTAGGGAGAGAAATCTTTTAAATGACAATAAACTACTGGGGCTCTGTGTGAGAAAATGAGTGTGTGTGTTTGTTAGAGAGAGAGAGAGTGACAGAGTGGAGGGAGAGAAGCTTTAATAAAGGAATCATATTCTAACTGCTGTGTCTTCTTGTCATCCATCATAAGTGATGGAAAAAAAAACATGGATTTATGACTATAAATTTGAAGTAAAATTGAACAAAAAATTTAGTTCACTGCTATTTAATTTCTCCATAATTTTCAGTTTGAGACTAACACTTAAATTTTAAAATAAAATATTCCAATAAAATAAAATAAAATAAAATATTCTAGAACAAATTAGCTTCACTTAGAATCTATCAAGCAGCATTCTGAATAAACTAGAATCCTTACATTTACGGTAAAATGAAGACTGATGTGTCCTTAGTGATTACCTGTATGTTCTAATATCTCTTTAATAGTTATAAAAGAGGGACAACCATATTTTCCCCTTTGAAAACTGATCATTTATGATACATATATTTAAGTTAATCAGCACTCATGGTTAATGAAAACAGTCCTTGTTGATGGTAAATGACTTTCATTACAAAAATAGTAAAAGGTACATTTAGCCACTAGAGTTCAGGCAGTATGCTTTGCATGGCCCACACCCATTTTGATTATGAAGATAGGAAATGACAAGCACATGACCATGTGCTGCTGTCTCTTGGAGGAGAGTCCTTGCTGTTCATTCACAGCGATTCTCACAAACCCAGGTCCAACTTTAGGCATCTTCTATAACCAACAGGCAGCAATGGATTGAGGTTAGCACAAAGATAACATCAGCCACAGACCAAATACCTTTTTTTTTTTCTTTTAGAGAGGGAGAGACAGAGAGAGAGAGAGAGAGAGAGAGAGAGAGAGAGAGAGAGAAGTAGGGTAGAGGCAGAGGGAGAGTGAGAGAGAGAGAATCTTGAGCAGGAACCATGCCCACGAGTGCGGAGCCTGACATGAGGCTCTATCTCAACTCTGAGATCATAACTTGAGCCAAAATCAAGAGTTGAATGCATAACTGACTGAACCACCTAGTTGCCCCCAACCCAAATACTTCAAGATGGTTTTTGCTACCACCTCCCTCCCCACCAGATCGAGGCCACTGGCTACTGGCCTAGTGGATCTGCGGCTGGCCTGACAATTCTAACGTGTTTCTCATTTCCGGGCCCAGGTTCAAAATGGGAGTCCATAGGCAGCTCAGGCTGTGTTGCCTATTGCCCTCAGCTGTAGTTGAAAAGGAGTGTCCCCCAGAAAAGCCCCTTAAAATGATCCAAAGCCTGGGTGAGTCACATGAGGAGCAAAATGATATCATGATTTGAATGTATCACCATAGTCTTAAAAGTAAATAGTAAATATATGTTGCCACTGAAAGAAAAACTCACCATAGCCAGCATAAACATTATATTTGAGTATTTTTTGAGAGTGATATGCTTTATTGTTAGAATGTCACTATTTTGACATATGTTTAGTATGAGTATTTGCATCATAGCAAATTAAACCTCAGAGAATCTGAACTCTCCTGTCTTTATCCCCAGAGAAGCTACATAAATTGAGTTATAAAACACAGGAATTCAAATATAAGAGAGCAAAGGCATAAAATACACAAGAGAAACTGGTTATGTCAGAATTTTCTGAGAAATCTCAAGGCATTCATCAAATCAGCCACTTCCACACAATTCACAGGAGCATCTTATCATCTACAACAAAGACAGGTTCATTGTCATATATGCCACATGAAAGGAAAGATGGAGAAAGACCTATATTTCAAAGCATACAAAATTGTTTTATTTTAATGTGGCAATCTTGTAGCTCATACTCTGATGCTTACCTTTAGTTTGAGCATTTCATTAAATTAATAACCCACTGGAAGGGAAGAGCTGTAGCTACTACTTTGTTAAGATTGGTGGAGAGGACTTGGTAATTACCAGATGAATCCATGGTGCCAGATGTAGGCACACCAAAAAGAATGACTGACAGAGAGCAATGAATCAGCCATGCCATGAACTAATTACAAACCTTGTTCCAGTCACTTAACCCATCCTAGTTTCTGTCTCCTCGTATCTGGGTTGGGGTGAGTGCTAGCACTGTTCAATTGTGGTAGATTTGTACCAACTCGACTTGTTTTTCCTATGATCTTCTCTTGAGATACACTTGTACCTAAATGCCTTCTATCCTTCCTTCCTGAGAATTCAGATAATTCAACAGCCTACAGCAAATTAAAAATGCCGTTCAAAATCTCTTCTAGAAAAACATGACATAAAAAAAAAACAATAACAACCAAAACCCCTCAAACCTCTAATTCTTGAGTATCTGAAATTGTTCCTGTTCCCAAGCTTCTGAGGCTGTGTGAAGCCAGGAAACATGTTCCACAGGCTGCCCCCGCTGCCCACCAGGCCTGGGGACAGCACAGCAGCCACTCAGCAGCAATGAGTGTTAGACTCAAGAAGGTCATATTATATGACGGCCAAACCCAGATGAGGTGTGAAAGTCCCTGTTTAAAAATTAATTTGAGGGATGCCCGGGTGCCTCAACATTTGAGCGTCTGCCTTTGGGTCAGGGTGTGATCCCGGAGTCCTGGGATCAAGTCCCGCATCGGGCTCCCCAAAAGGAGCCTGCTTCTCCCTCTGCCTGTGTCTCTGCCTCTCTCTCTCTCTCTCTCTCTCTCTCTCTCTCTCTCTCTCTCCCTCTCATGAATAAATAAAATCTTTAAAAAGTAAAAATAAATAAAAATAAAAAGTAATCCGAAAAGACAAGCAAAATAGCTGAGATTTGAGATTTAACTGTGAAGATGAACGTGTGGTGGTGGTTGATTTTAGTGAGAAGTGGATAAGAAGAGAAAAGATAATTATAACCCAAAGTGCCCTCTCCACCGCTCTTATGCACAAGGCAACAGAAATCAGTTTGCGGGTTGACTTTGGAGCCCATCCCTTATTCTTTTGTTATTATTATTATTTAAGATCTTATTTATTCATTTGAGAGAGAAAGAACAGGGGGAAGAGCAGAGGCAGAGGGGGAAGTTGACTCCTGTCTGAGCAGGGAGCCCGATGTGGGACTGGAACCCAGGACCCCAGGATCACGAAGGTGGATGCTTAACCACCTGAGTCTCCCGGCGCCCCCCATCACGTATTCTTAAACTATTTTCTTTCTTCTTCCCCTTCTCCTCCTCCCCCTGCTCCTCCTCCTTTGTCTCCTTCCTCTACATGCTTCTTTTGCCTCCTCCTTCCTCCCGGCTCCTTCCTGTCTTCCTCCTCCTTCCTTTCTCCCCCCCCCCCCCCATAATCAGTGCTTTGGAAAGATTTTAAAAATATCTTGCTATGTATACCAGTCACTCTCCACCCTCCCCCAGTTACAGGACCCCACGGTAGGGGTAGGTTGTCGGGCGTACCTGTGACTGTCATGAATTCCTGTTTCAGGTTCGCTCCAGGAAAACCGTGTCTGAGTGGGTACCTCTGGATGTAGTCACACAATGAAAAATGCAAACATTATCACACATTGTGCTTTCCTTTTTGCTTTGGATGCCGAACCTTTGACTATGATATCCCCTGTGCTCTTTTCATAGACTCATGTTCAATTTTTTTTTTAAGATTTTATTTATTCCTGAGAGACACAGAGACAGGCAGAGACACAGGCAGAGGGAGAAGCAGGTTCCCCTTGGGGAGCCCGATGCGGGACTGATCCCAGGCCCCCGTCCACACCTTGAGCCAAAGGCAGATGCTCAACCACTGAGCCACCCACGTGGACCCCAAATTTATTTTTTAAATGTTGATTTTTCCCAGCTTAAATGTTACATATTTATAACATGTAAGCTACCTTTATAATTTTCCAGAAATAGAAGTGGCTCTCTTCTAATATTTTAATAATTATAATATTTTTGTCTAAAAGCATCTGGTTAATGTAGCCAAATGTGTTTAAACTACAGATGTCTTTAAAGATGTATTTTTATTTATTTTAGAGAGAAAGAGAGAGCATGCCTGAGCTAGGGGGAGGGCCAGAGAGAGGCAGAGAAGCAGACTCCCTGCTGAGCTGGGTACCTGACATGAGCTCCATCCCAGAATCCTCAGATCATGACTAACTACAGATGTCTTTAAAGGAAAGTCGTCTACTTTACCAGAGAACAGACTGCCTAAAAAGTGTACAAGGTGTTCATGGGGTTTATTGCAATGTTCATTGGACTTCAATTTTTTTTAAGATTTTATTTATTTATTCATGAAAGACACAGAGAGAGGCAGAGACATGGGCAGAGGGAGAAGCAGGCTCCATGCAGGGAACCTGACGTGGGACTCGATCCCAGGTCTTCAGGATCACATCCTGGGCTGAAGGCGGCGCCAAACCACTGAGCCAGTCCTGGGCTGCCCTGGACTTTAATTTTAACTGTATAGTTGATTCATGTAGCACCCAAGGGAGGTTATTTCCTTTTACTTCAATTTTCTAAATTTTAAATTGTGAATAAAAAATATTCTTTCTACCTCACTTACATAAGGCTAAGAAGATGACAAATGTGAATGGAACACAACACAAAGTATGACATGGAAGATTTGTACTGATGTGTGACTATGGCCAGCAAGAAAAATTGAAAATAATGACCAAGATTGCTAACAAATTCAGAACTTATGGTTTATCATATAAAAGATATGTAACAAATTACTCATGGAAAATAAAAATCTGACATAGGTTAACGTGCCATACATTAAAGGTGCAAAATCAAATAGCAGCCTACACATACATATACAGTGAGGTATTACTCAGCCTTAAATAATGAAATGGGGGTGTCTGGGTGGCTCAGTGGGTTAAGTGTTCAACTCTTGATTTCAGCTCAGGTCATGATTTCAGGGTTGGGAGATCAAGCCCCACATTGGGCTCCTCACTGGACATGCAGCCTGCTTAAGATTCTCTCTCTCCCTCTCCCTTTGCCCCTCCTCCCCATCTCTAAAAAAAGAAAACTGAGAAGGCCATTTGTGACAACATGAATGGAGCTAGAGGGTGTTATGCTGAGTGAAATAAATCAGAGAAAGGCAAATACCATACGAGTTTGTGAATATGTAGAATCTAAAAAACAAAACCATGAATGAAGTAGAAACAGACCCATTAATACAAAGCACTGATGGTTGCCAAAGGAAAGTGGGTAGAGAAATAGGCAAAATGGGCGAAAGGGAGAGGGAGATACAGGCTCCGGTTATGGAATGGATAAGTCACAGGGATGAAAGGTACAGCATGGGGACCACAGTCATTGGTATCTTAAGAGCATCCTGTGGTGATGGATGGTGGCTGTACTTAGAGCAAGAACAGCATAATGTCTAAAGGTGTCCAATCACTGTGCCGTGCACCTGAAACTAATGTGACATTGTGTATCTATTATACTTCAGTTAAAAAATACATGGTAAGAGAAAAAAAAAACCCAGCAGCCTATTTTTTTTTTTTTCTCACTGCTTTTACTCTTAGAGTATTTCATCTTTAAGTGTCTTAAGGGACATTTGATATTTTTGGATGATGAAACATTTTTCATTTATCTAGCATCCAACTCTGAAAGCCTGAGTGAAAATAAAGTCTTGAGATAAATACTAAGTAAATGCTAAAATAAACGTGATCAGTATTCTTTCACTGTAGGTGAGTCTTTTCTTTTACTTCAACTCACAGAAATCCAAAACTAATAGAAAGCTAAAAATAACACCCCAAACTAATAAACCTTTTTAAAAATGAACTATGTAGTAAATTAAAAATTGATACGACTGCTTTTAAACATCTTATCTGGTCTGATCAATATATAACCCACTAAAGCATAAAATGGATGATTAACTTTAAAAAGTAAAACTGGATAATTTTGGTTTATAAAAGTAGCACGGATTTTTTTTTAGACAGGAACAATTTCTTTCAAATATTTTTCAAAGCAGCTAACTTTTTTGTTTTGCTTCAAAAAGAATATAGCCCACTGGAGAGGGGTAGACTTTATAATTACATATTGTCATATAAGTAATACAAGTCAACAATTTGCTGACTTAATACTATTCTTTAGTCATTACATATTGATATATTAATGTAAGATTTATATATTCTGGAAAACTATATTATTACTCATGTCTTTGATTTGTGAATGTATTTATAGAGAAATAATAGGAAGCATAAACTTGATATATTTTTCCAGTGTTTTCAAGAATGATTATTGCAAACATTCAATAGCAATTTATTTTTAGTTTAAATATTTATTTATAATCATAAGAAAAATGATTGATCACCAAATATTTTATTTATATCAAAATGTCTTGGTTATACAAGTGTCAGTTAATATAAATCAGAGTGAAATCTCTACCAATAAAAACGTGACGTACTGACGAGGAAAACAGAAGTAATGTGTGGAAATTTGGCTTATGCTACCCTCTCACCCATGCTCCCCAACTGAGGCACTCTCCTTTCCTAGTAAAGAATGAAATCTGGTCACAGTTTTTTAAAAAACAGATCTTTTAGTTTTTTGTGTGATTTTTCATTTAACTCAATTGATCTAATGCTTTAACATTTACAGGTGAATGCCCATCATATCTGGAATTGCACCCTTCCTTGCCACTTATTTTTCTTCTTAAATAATAATCAAGAAATTATTGTATTATATCGTATACTTTTCAAGAAATTTTGATGCTGACTTTTTTTTTTTTTTTTTTTTTTTTTTTAATCTTCAGTGCTCCTCCTTCCCTCTTAGGTTCAAGCCTGTGCTTACCCCCAGAGCCAGCAAGGCCCACTTTGGCTTTTTGGCTTTTTTGTTGTTGTTGTTGTTGTTGTTGTTGTTTTCTAGATTTTATTTATTTATTCATGAAAGACAGGGAGAGAGAGAGAGAGAGAGAGAGAGAGAGAGAGAGAGAGAGAGAGGTAGAGGCACAGACAGAGGGAGAAGCAGGCTCCCTGCAGGAAGCCCCATGCGGGACTCGATCCTGCGACCCCGGGGTCACGCCCTGGGCCGAAGGCAGAGACTCAACCACTGAGCCACCCAGGCGTCCCTCGATGCTGACTTTTCATAGAACTTTAAAAATTATCTTTGGTCTACTCACTCCTTAAATCTATGTAATCATATTAACGTATTTTATGTTCTCACAATTTTCTTTTTACTTGCCTTTGTTAAATAATAATAATAAAAAAGACCTGATTATTTCCCCTTTGAAGCCAATTTTATTTCGCTGATGAAGTAGTGGGGCTTCTTAGTATCGTAAAGTCAGTTTTCCGCCCCTAAGAAAACTTGCCGGCATAGCATTTAACCATATGCCTTGATTATAATAAACGTCATCGATTGCTTAACGGAATCACGAAAACAGAGACGGAAATACACCTCCTGGTTTTAGTTGGACCGGGAGGTGATTCACAGAAAAGTGTGTCTTTTAAGAGAAAAGCGAAATCACGGAAAACACACTTCTGGGAGGATTTGCTTATTTGTTTTGAAGTTGTTGCAATTCCCCGCTTTTCCCCTCCGGCTTTATTTTTGTTTCCACTGCTCCGCGGCCCGGCGGGCGACCACGACAGCCTTGTCCTTTGCTTTCCCGGTTGCTCACAGGTGGCTTGACCCCGTGTCTTTACAAGTTCCCGGAGCACGGCCTGGGCCCCGGCTTCCCCGCCGTGCACCAGCCGCTCCTCGCCGAGGGCCCGGCGGTCGCTGACTTCAAGCAGGAGCTCAGGCGGAGGAGCAAGCTGGTTGAAGAGCCCATAGACACGGAGTCTCCGGAAATCCGAGAGCTCGAGAAGTTCGCCCATGAATTCAAAGTGCGAAGGATTAAGCTAGGTACGCGCCGCCTGTTTGCTCGTTGCTTCCCCGACGCGGGCCTTCCTTGCCTCGGCTCGCCTGCCTCGACATCAGTCCTGCACTAGCTGCCCGTCTCGATTTGGCCTTTGGAATAGCTGGGCCCTTGGTGCGCTGCGAAGGCCTAAAGGGCGGAGGCGCGCCCCCCCCCCCCGCAGGCCCCGCCCTGTGCCCCGCTGGAGACGCCTCCTGCGCGTTTAGGCAACCCCGTGTACGCCTTGGTACAGACTTGGTGTGACTGTTCTAGAGAGCTTTCCGTTCTGACTTTTAGAGAGCTCTGCTTTCTCCCGCTTTCTGTAAATGAGTCTATCCAACTCCAATTTATGAATATATTGTTTAGCCCCCCACTGAATTCAGGTTATCACCAACCCTCGTGGGTTTTGTCAGGTTTTGTTTTTTTATTTGAGAGGGAGAGTGAGCGAGAGAGCACAGTGACGGGAGAGGCAGAGGCCCAGGGAGATGCAGGCTCCGCGCTGCGCGGGGAGCCCGATGCGGGGCTCGATCCCAGGACCCGGGTCACGACCTGAGCCACAGGCGGACGCTCAACCAGTGGAGCCCCCCAGGCGCCTTCCAATCTCACACGGTTAAAAATAATCTTACAACGATGCACTTTTCAAACGTCATCTCGTACCTATGTAAACACCTACGTAGGACACATGTTAAAAGCACAGTTTCTTAATTAAAGTGCATGTGTATTTATAATTTTGTCAAATTGGTCTATATAGAGGTGCCAAATTTTACCTCAGGTGTCTTTTGGCAAACTCCTTAGAATATTATCTTTAACGAAAGCAGTTTGTTCTTTATCTGTTTTTATTTTTCCTTAAAGGCATATCCTCAGCCCTTAGAACCCTGGAAGCGCATAGAATAAGTAAATACTTGAAAGGAAACTATGGATTAATGCTTTGGATCTTTGCAAATCACATAGGTGAAAGTGGTCCCCGTGGAATTTTTGTTTTTAAAAGAGGGGAAGAGTAAAAGAGCGTGGTCGGGGGAGGGGCAGAGGAAGGGGAAGAGAGGGAATCTTAAGGCTCCACACTCAGGGCCAACCCCCACACAGGGCTCCATCGCATGACCCTGAGATCGTGACTTGTGCCCAAATCAAGAGTCCTTGGGGCCCCTGGGTGGCTCAGTGGTTGAGGGTCTGCCTGTGACTCAGGTCATTTCCCCTGGTCCTGGGATCGAGTCCCACATGGGGCTCCTCGGAGGGGGCTTGCTTCTCCCTCTGCCCGTGTCTCTGCCTCTGTGCTCTGAGTGTGTGTCTCGTGAATAAATAAATAAAATTTCTAAAATAAAAAAAAAAGAAAAAGAAATCAAGAGTCTGAAGTTTAACTGAGCCACCCAGGTGCCTCAGTGACTTCATTTTAAATTTATGAGTGAAGACTGAAAAGTGTTACTTCGTGTGTTTTATAGTCATTGTAATTCTCTGTGAACTGTCTGCTCAAAACCTGGGCACACTTTCTATTCAGTAGTGTTTTTAACATAAAATGACTATAATAATTAACCTGGATTTAAATTCATGAAGTAGCATATCTTTTAAATGGACTGAAAATGTAGTTCTATCCTCTGCACTTGTGGAATGAACCACAGGTAATTTTGTAATGATATTTATTGATAGGCATCATATGTGACCACTTTATGCATACAGACACATATATAGCTTTAGGCCCTGAATTAATATGAGGTTACTATTTGTAATAAACACAGCGGTAGACATCTTTATAACAACTATTTTCAGTTTGCTATTTATATTGCTATATTTCAAATTCCACGTTGACGGTCAATATCAGCTTGTACTCTAAAAACGTTTTAGGACAATCAATGAGGATCTCTGGCCTGAAGACAGAAGCATTACCAAATGATATAATGAATGTGCTCAGAAATACACGTAAAATATTGGGTGATCAGTCTCGTAATAAACATGTTTTTAGGGAAAGTCAGCATGATTCCTAGTTTTATTTTATTTGGTGCCATTTAACAATATAGTTGATTTTGTACTCTTACAGTTGAGATAAAAATATTTATATCATCATATAACATGCATCATAGTTAATGTACCATATTGTTTAGCATATATCATCAGATATTTAATAATAATAAAGAGAGCAAGAATTTGTGTCTTATAAAGTGTTTACGACACATCTATCCAATTTCACTGCATATTGTGAATGGTGGCTGTTCCTGTCTAAATTCTTTTGACTTCTAGGAGAAATTAACCAGCAGTATTTTTTGAAGCACTGGACAAGTCTACACTGAACTTACTAAATAATTCTAAATTGCCAATGAATATATGCTCAAAAGCAATATTTAATAGTTAACAAAGAAAGACACAAAGATTTCTGTGATCACAGGCCACAATGAATGCTTCTTGAATAGCTGAAGCTAACGGGTCCTTCCTGTCCTTTCACAGGATACACCCAAACCAACGTGGGGGAAGCCCTGGCAGCTGTGCATGGCTCTGAATTCAGTCAAACGACTATCTGCCGATTTGAAAACCTGCAGCTCAGCTTTAAAAATGCATGCAAACTAAAAGCAATCTTATCTAAATGGCTGGAGGAAGCTGAGCAAGTGGGAGGTACTGAAGTTGTCGCTCTGAAGTTCTGTGATGTTTTAACTTGAAAGCAATGACTTCCACTGGTAGGATTTAGGCTAAAGCAGAGAGGTTTGAGGTTTAGTTGGGTTTTGTTTTTCTCTTTCAGATGAAAAAGAAATGTGTTTCATAATACTGAAAAGAGGAAGGCTAATGCAAGTATAGAAATAAGTTTACTGAGAAGTTAAATATAGTAAGAGAAGCAGCTGGATAAGGACAGCTTTCTGGATAATGCGGCAGAGGCGTTAAGTGGTGAAATATTTTAACACATCCAAATTTTCTGGCTTTGTGCATACTGTAGTAAATGTACATGAATTTTTATAAACTGATATTACTGTAACCAGAGCATTTGTGCACACCAGTCTTCCAAGTAAGTACATAAGCAATTGCTAACGTAATAAAATCATCTACTCATATTAACGTTAAGGCTGGATAAAGAACAAGGTATGAAAACATTTAAATCAAGTGTTCCAGGAAAAGTGTGATCGGGATATCATCTATAGACAGCTTTTTGCAAAATTAATATTTCCACATTAACATTTTTATCTTGGTCTTATACTGTAAAATAATGTAGAATGCAAAAACTTAAAAGAAAAATGTATAGCGAGTTTATTTTGCATTGTTTTAGAAAGAAAATTTGAAACTCAAATCTGATAGTTTTTTTTAAAACCACTTTGATTTCATAATTACTTCTCTATTCCCCATTACAGCTTTATACAATGAAAAAGTGGGAGCAAATGAAAGAAAAAGGAAGCGAAGAACAACTATAAGGTATTCTTCTGCGATATCAAAACGTACAGAGGAGATGGAATATATACAATATATACATATATACAAATGGAAGAGCATTTGAGGGTAATAGAGGTACAACATAGCACATAGATGTATGGTGAATAGAGCCAACTGAAAAAACAAGATTGGTGAAAAAGCATAATTTAATAATTCGTTAGTGAGAAATGGTGAGCTAGTAATTTTTAACATTTGATAGAAAAGTAGGTTATTTAAGTCAGGAACACTCCACAAGTCTTAGATAAAACAGAAATTAAGCAATCACTTCTACAAAGAGTGACCATTTCTGCTGTCCTTTTAGATATGTCTTGCTCTGGCAATTTGGTATCTAGGTTATTAAAAAATAGCAAAACTAGTTATCAGTATTTCAGTCAAAGTCCAATGTGATTTCTTGCACTTCAAACCGGAAAGATTGTTGGGTGATATTTTGGTAATTTGTGTGAAAATTATGAAGGAAATGCTAAAATACAGGTTTTGTTTCAGTCGATGAGTTCACTGTTCACTGAATATTTCTTCTATTGTCAACCACAAATGATTCCTGAGGGACCCAGAAATGCCCGCACAAGTGTTCATTTCCTTTTCAGGAAGTCAGCGCCCTCTAGTGGCACAGAGTGGGGTACACATAGAAAGCCTAGAACACCTTTCTTCCTGGGATCCACTAACCATACCCTGCATAAAACAAGCGTCTCAATATTCCACTGACTGCACATTTATCTTTGTTGAAGCTTTGGGGGTGTTTTCAGAATCTTTAAGCAATATTTTCATGTTAATATTAGTTTAATTTTGATCTGCTAAAACATCATGAAAACACCATGATCTCACCCTTCTGTACGTGTACCCCTCCCCTCAGTATTGCTGCTAAGGATGCTCTGGAGAGACACTTTGGAGAACAGAATAAACCTTCCTCTCAAGAGATCATGCGAATGGCTGAAGAACTGAATCTTGAAAAAGAAGTAGTAAGAGTTTGGTTTTGCAATCGAAGGCAGAGAGAAAAACGGGTGAAAACAAGTCTGAATCAGAGTTTATTTACTATTTCTAAGGAGCATCTTGAATGCAGATAAAATTTACTGTTGTGTGGCAGCGAATTTTTCTATTTTTCATCCCTTTCTCTTCTCCAACAAAAAGACAGAAATTAGTTATTTGGCTGGCTTCAAAAATCATTTTTATATCAGTAACTTTTGCAGAGGTTTTTCTACTTTTTTTAAAAAAAGAATACAATTTAAATATTGACAAACTATTTTCATTAAAGTAATTATTTTCAGAAGCCAAACGGTACATTTTTAAGCCAAAGATACCAACAGGATTAAAACAGTGATTCCCTCTCAATCTCTCTTCCTCTTGCTCTATCTACAGACACACACACACATATACACAGTGTGCACATGGATCTTCTAGTTTAAGGTTTCTTTTCCAAAGGCTGTTTATTAGCTTTTTAGCATTTCATTGATAATGCCAAATAAAGAATATCACTGTAGAAGATACAATCAGAAAACTGATTTAACCGACATCCTGCTTGCCATCAGCTATAATAGTTTGTTGGAACTAAGTAGTTTGCACTTAAGAGCAAGAGGTGCCTTTGAATTTCATTAGTGCATTTAGGAATAAATCTTAATTAGAGGCAACATTTTTATCTTTTATTCTTCCCACAGATTTAGCTTTTTTGATGTTTATTGACAGACAATATGTATTATGGATTCTTGAACCCTAAACTACCACAGTGCAGGAATGATTATCTGGCCTGTTTGCTGTTTGCTGTTGTTTATGCCTGGGAAAGTGTTTGCTCCTGGTGGGCATGCAGTCTTAAGTTAAATGAACAAAGGACTGCGCTGTTAACAATTGCTACTTAATACTTGAAGGGGGCCTAACTTAATAAGTCTCACAACCCAGAAAATCATCCAGGATCCTATCAAAAAGGATGATCACTTTGGTTTAATTGGTTAGATTATGATTTATTGTTGATGAAAAAGTTTGACTATGAGTATTTAAACTTGGAGAATTATATCCAGGGAACATATTTATTTAACTAATAAGGCATTTCTTTGAAATTTGCAAGTAGAAGCAAACTGTAACGTGGTATCAATCTAAGAGAACTTTTTTTTTGCATTTAAAATACATAAATTTGCTGGCACTGTGTTTGTAACTTATTTTACATAACAGAAATGAAAACAATTAGACCAAATTTCATTACTGATTTAGAATGCTTACTAAATAAATTATACTGTCCTGTTTTAGCTTTCTGTGAGATTAATAAAGACCAAGAATTATACAGGTCATAATCTCTATAGATCATAGGTGTTTATGCATGCATAATCACCATTAATTGGATGGCTAGAAACTTTGATATATTAATATAAAGAGATCATTTGCAGTAGCTTAATCACCTATGCTTAAGTACACATCTAGCACCCAGGAGAGGTTGAACAAAATATATATACAAAGACTTTTATTATCCAAGAGTAAATTCCAAATTATTCAGCCATGTAGATATATAAATTCCTTCTCTGTAATTAATTCACTTGCTTACTACATACACTACTTGGGAAGTGATCCTTCAGTTTGCAAAAGGGAGGGATAGGATGTGTAGATGTACAGATATACATTTATTTACATACGCAAAATGCACATATGCATATCTGAAAGTTGCAAAGAGAAAGTATAATGCACAATAAATATTTGAATAGTGACTTTTTTCTACTTTAAATATGAATCTGCTAGGAACATTTAATCTGACTTTCTACAACAAAAATAAGCATGTACATATGCTAATATCATCACATAGACACGATCATCATCCTATCATTCATTCCATAAGGTCATTCCAGTTTAGATACAACTAAATTAGGAAATTATTTTTCTCCCTAAAAGGAATTATTTTGAATCCTTAATTTTGAAATAGCAAATCTTTAGTTATTTACAACTTAATTGTAAATGCACTAGTATTTACTATTAACTTATTTGTATGGAGTTTTTTGAGACTATTTATTCTAACTATATTGAGATATTTTAATAGATATAGATTGAACTTTTTATAAAAATAGAAAATACTGTTTAGAATCCTAAACTGCAATTAAACAAGTGACGAATGTAATTTTCTCTGCAAATGTGGGACTAACTTGGGAATAAATGGTAAAGTTGACTTTAGCCACAGTCTTTCCACCTTATGTTCTTGGTGAACCGTTCAGTGGTAAATCTTCCGGAATTCAGTATAGTTCATTAAAACAGAAAGACCTGTTTCTCACTTATACCAATTGATACATTCAGTTTTATCTGGTAGAGGTGGTTGACACTCATTCACGCATTTACCTTTCCATCTCTTGGTGGAAAGATTAATCTAGTAAAAAATATTTTGCATGTTCGGGGATGGGAGCGGTGTGTCTGTGTGCAGCTGCACTCAAGCTCTGGGGAGGATGGGGAAGTGGACTAAGAGTAGTGTATGTTGTGTGGTGTTCCAACAATGAGAGGGTCTTCAATCAGACTTCACAATCCCCAGGCTTCCTCTAAGGTGAATTCAATCCAATGGACTCTTGAACTAAGTTTAGAAGAATGGTCTTAATGGGATTCAATTTCTACAGAGAGGAAATTAGAAAGTTGATCAGCTTTTCTGCAGCTTCAAAAACCTATTCCTGCAGAATAATGGCATCAAAGAAGAAAGTCATCATAGATCTCTGGACACACTGTTTTAACATGGGAATATCTAAAATAGGAGCACATATTTAAATGAGGCCCACAGGGATCAGGATGGAAGTGGGGCTACTGGGCTAGTAAGGAATATACTTGTGGCTGAGGGGAGAGAGCACTTTTCTCCTAAAGGCACTCAAACACACACAAAAGGAAATATACATCCCTGTGCAGGTAGAATAAAATAAAGCCCAAGCTTGGTTGCCAGATTCCCTCTGGTCTTACAGGGTCACAGTGTCAAGCCCCTTCCCACTGGGCCTGGTATAGCTTGGTACTCCTCTTGGAGCACCAAAGGTAGTCTATGTAACACAGTCATCTGACAGATGGTCATTTTATGTTTTCTAAGACTAGCTGTTATTATCGTCAGTCCTGCATTTTCATACTACGTTCTGCTTCTCTGATTTCCTGAAATGTCCTCCAGCCAGCCTTTACATCCAGTAATAGAATGTGACATTGGGTTACATCCTTCTGGGTCACAGACATTGCTATGCTCTTCCACTCTCTATTGGCAACCTCTTGTTTAAATATAGTTACTGAAGTAATCTTTTTGCCAAAAAAAAAAAAAAAAAAAAAAAGTTAATGCAGTTGACCACTGAATACATGGGTTTAAACTTTGCAGGTGGTCCACTTATATACAGATTTTTTCAATGTACAGTACCATAAGTGTATTTCCTCTTACGATTTTCTTAACATTTTCTTTCCTTTAACTTACCTTATTGTATGACACAATATATAATACAGACAACATATGAAATATGTTAATTGACTTATGTTTTTGGTAAGGCTTCTGGTCAACAGTAGAGGTAATTAAGTTTTTGGAAAGTCAAAAGTTGTATGTGGCTTCATAACTGCATGGGTTCCGTGCCCCTAACACCCACAGTGTTAACAGGCCAACTATATTTTAATAAACTTATTAATGTATAAGAATCCTTATTTCCTAATCTTAGGGGTTGAAAAGTTTTATTTTTAGTAAAGGGCAGTGTAACATAAATTTATAAGGATTGTGATAATTGCTACAAGAGCATTTTACAAATATAGCCACATCAGAAGAGCTCTACTCTCTCCTTTAGGTCCCAAAGCCTTCTGTAGTATCCATTTCTAATTGAAAATAAATCACTAAGACTTAATTGTATCAAAATATTTAAGAATGTTTATCCCCTGGAAGTTCTAGAAAAGGAATCATCAGACCAAATTCATGTGAACCACCAATTCTTAGACTTACTCCATTCACAAACATCAGTCCTGTATCAACAGCTAATTCTTAGAAAAGACATTTGTTAAAATATAAGGAGCAGCTACCTAATTTTCTTTCCAGGAAAATAATAAAAATCATTCTTTTGAAAAATTACCAGGTACTTTAGCAGAAGCCAAAAATAAAATATACGGAAAAAAAGCATAACAGCAATAAATCTTTATTGGAATTTTTCTAACAAAATAATTTTTAAAAACAAAAGCCCCCACATGTAAACAAGAAAGTAAATAAAGTTAATTGGCATCATCATGTACATCCAAGAATCAACACAAGTTCTGGGTTAACATTCCGTAATCCAGGAACATGTTATGACTTATCAATGATGAGGAAACTGTTTAATGCTATCGACAGTGCAACCTCATCTTTCATCGTATGGTGGCTCAGAAATCATCAACTACGTAACTGAATTTTTCATTCCTCCCACCGATCCACGTGCCACGTGTATGCTAGTCCTAACATGCATTTACACTGTCGATATCAGAACGAATGTGTCCATCATCGGAAGCTGGTTATACCTATCTGATTTCCTGCATGGTTTTTATGTTGACATATGCTAGAACTCATGTATTATGACGTAACTTTTTAAAACTAACCTAATCCTAAATTCTATCTCTGACTAATCTGCCATTTCATTTTTTCTCACTTCCTATACATAACATTAAATACCGTAGCAACTTCACCTTAAGAAATACTGCTAATACATTAATACACATTTAGACAGTAATTTCTGACAAAGTTGTAGTTTATTTACAAAGAAAAAAAATGTTAGTTTTTATTTTAAAATTTAGGTCAAGTATTGTCATAGTAGTGTTAAACTAAGAAGGAAGGCTTCCATTTACAGGGTTCAATATTTACATTACTGAAGATCAAAATTAAACACAGATTAAATTATACCTCATATGGAAATATTTTCTCAGTTCTTGGAAGACCAAAATACAGTCTTATTACTATAAAATGTTATTAATTCAGTGTCCATTTTTGCTAATTATATTTCATTCAATTCACTTTTACAAGCCTTACAAAAGAAAACCAGGACAATTTTTCTAAGAGGCCTTAATTTTGGTTTAAAATGTAATTCTTTTCTGTCAGTTAAAATAATTTAAAGATTTGTACAATAGGTTTGTGCTGTTTAAGGCAGGTGCCAAGTACATTTTTAAAGGTAATAAACTTACCAACTAGAATGTTCTCCCAAAGGAAAAAAAAAAAAGAAAAGAAAAGCTCATGACAGTTTTTAAGATAGATGTTTAAATAGCACTCTTCTTTTGGATCATTTAAAAATAATTTGGCAGCTGAACTGCCTAAGGTCATAACACATATCACTTTTACAAAGGACAAGCAACAGATACAGAATTAATGATATATTTTTAATATTTTTACAAGTCTCTTTAGTTGGTGCTAAGTGGCATTTAATGAGATTTTTTTCAGTGTAAAAACACAGAACATAAACAGTAAGTAATGAATATAATTTCTCTATGCCATGCAGAAAAGAAGTCAACTTTTTACACATCATCACTCCTAAATAGTTCTAATTAAAATCCAAACTGTTCCCATTTTTGCATCCTTGTCATTCTTTGGTAAAAGACTCAAAAACAGCCATGGGTTAGGAAACAACTGATTGCTGATGGTCTTCATTTTTGCAAATAAATGTGTTTTGTAAAAGGAATCTGCACTGTGCCTGGTTTATACTAAATAACCATAAGTAAGTAAAATATTATGGTTTTTCTCACTAGTCTACTCCTAAAGCTTTGAGTTGCCGTTCAATCTCTTCATCGGAGATTGTAGCCTTTGAAGTAGAGGCAGATGGTAAGCTTCGGGCAGCTGATGGAGCTTTGGCCATCTACATTAAAGGAAAAGAAAAAAAATGTGCATTATCAAACATTTGGAAAAGTACACAAATGGACACACCATTCCAACACATATAAAAACATAGGTCTAAGAATAAAGGCTAACTTAAGTGACCAAAGTGGTAGAAATGATTTCCAACCAAAAAAAAAAAAAAAAAAAAAAAAAAAAAAAGAAGGGTCTATTCATACCTTTCCAGAGATTTCAATTCCTATCTCATCAAGAACTTGATTCACAATATCTTGGCTTTCTTCTTCATCATCAGAGCCATCAAAGATGTCATCCAGTGTGTCATTGACTTGTGGGCAAGGGCAGAAACAAAATTACAATTACTTTCAAACAGATTTCAGGTTAGATTAACATTTTTAGAAGGTGGCCCAAATCTGTGTATACATTTAAATGTTACTCAAGGGCAAACTTACGAGAACCAACAAACTACAAGTTATTTTCAAATGTGAGTGAAGTTCACTTACACATTTCTAAATTACTAAGTCTGGAGTGATTTTCATTGCCATGCAAATTATCCTCTAATAAAACTAGTCTACCCTGATTTTAAAAAAATGTGTCTTTAATGAACAACAAAAAAGTTCACAGCAAAAGGCTTAAAGTATTTAAATATGATTCCACAAACTGTATTCAGTGAGTTAGGTAGCAGCTGTTAAATCTGACGATGGAATAATATGCAAGAATCAAATATCCTGTAAGTAATAGGGAGACCGTTTACTCTTCTTAGTTAATTTTCAACTTAAATTTACATTCAACATATAGGTAGACTATTCTAACAAAGTCAGAGGTTCCATATTCTATTAAACTTGTCTAAGAAGGACATCCAATTTAACTTCGCAAAGATTATTACTGCTATATCCCTCTCTTCCTCTCTTCCCTTTCCAAAATATTTATGGCAAGGCTTTTGTACAGAAGGTGGTACCACATTAGGATTACGTCTTGTTTACTTCTAAAGCAAAGTGCCTAGCATGTCGTACAAATACAATTAATGGATAGATGGAGAAAAATGAAGACTTCAGGTAGTCTACATTTAAGTACAGAAGACATTAATAACCAGATTACGGTAAATAAGAAAGGTAAATGATCATACAGAGGGAAGAGATTACACCCAAGTAGGAGGAAGTACATGTGAGGTGGTCCTTGAAGGATGCATAGGTTTTGACCAAACAGATCAAGGGAAGAGAATGAGCAAAGAGTTGGTAGAAGACAACAGGGATACAGTAAAGGAAGATTAAGTTCTTCCATTGTGTTATTATTTAAGGCAAATAGATACACCTTTTTCATTAAATAATCTTATTTAATATTTACCTTAATTTACCTTTAGTATCTCTTATCTGGGTCAAAGAGCTTATATGTCTGCTAAGAGAAAAAAGATCTAGGAAATCATTTTGGATGCCCCAGCCCTCTCCCTGTTTCACATGTACATCCTTATTGCTTGTATCCTTAATATTATTAATAAACCTTGATACTGGTTAAGATCTCTGGTTGGTATGAGCATGATTTGACAATTAATTTTTTGTGTTAGCTCAATAGCATAAAGTATATTTGGAAAACACTATGTAAGTTCTGAGACAAAAATACAGAATATCATCTCTGAAAAAATAAAACAAATGTTACGCCTTCAAGTAGAGTCTCAATTCTTCCATTCAGTACATATTCAACTTTTGTTGGAGAAAGTCATTTTACCTCTCTGAGCCTTGGTATGCTCACTGGCAAAATAAAGGGGCCTCACTTGAAAACTGTTTTTGATTTACATCTAGGGACTTTATTTTGTAGTCCGCGAGAAGTAACTAAAGGAATCTCATTGGCATCCTCAGAGATAAGTTTCTGAAAAATAATTTAGCAGTTGTAATACTCTGATGCTAGTGAAGTAATAATGGGGGTGGGAAGTCTAAGTCAAAGTCTATAAGGGGGATCCCTGGGTGGTGCAGTGGTTTGGCGCCTGCCTTTGGCCCAGGGCGCGATCCTGGAGACCCGGGATCGAATCCCACGTCAGGCTCCCAGTGCATGGAGCCTGCTTCTCCCTCTGCCTATGTCTCTGCCTCTCTCTCTCTGTGTGTGACTATCATAAATAAATACAAAAAAATTAAAAAACAAAAACAAAAAACAAAGTCTATAAGGGACTCAATGAAGAAGCAGTCGCAAAAAAAAAATGAAAGAGACAGATGAGAAAGAACAGAGAGGTATAATCAGGGACTAACAAAGAAGAATGCTTTCAGAAAAACTGTAACAAAATTAACCATATATATATATTTACATATATAAAATAACTAATACATATATATAAATAAAATGTGTGTGTGTGTGTGCACACGCATGAATAATACAGATTTCTCAAAGATCCTGTTTCCAAAATTTGACCGTGAACAAGTTCTTTAACTGGAAAAATATATATCCATTCAAATCTTGAATTTACCTTGGATGAAATACTAATTTGGATGAAAATACTAATGTTAATGTACTTTACTAGGTCATAGAAGATATGAGTAATTACCGACAATTACTATTCTTTCAGACCCATTTGCAAAGTACTAAAATACAAATGAGAACTATGATAGATATGAGTGTATGAGCTTATTGATTCTCTTCATTATAGCTTAATGGAAAAGTTAATTCCTCTAAGATATGTTTACACCTGTGCCATCACTGGAAATCACAAAAACATGTTAGATACTGTGATCATTATATAAATGACATTTCTCACAGTCATTAAAAATTCACTAATGATGTTTCAAAAAGTTGTATTTTTCAAAGATTCACAAAACTACAGAATTTTTGAACTATCCAAGATACACATACAATTTCATTAACTCCTAAAAGGAAAACATATATTCTGAAATTGAATACTTGAACAGTGTTGAGTTTAGTAATCTTGGTAATGTAATGAGATACTATTTTATAGGGGCAGCTGGGTGGCTCAGTGGTTGATCATCTGCCTTTGGGTCAGGTTGTGATCCAGGGGTCCTGGGATGGAGTCCTGCATCAGGCTCCCTGTGGGAAGCCTGCTTCTCCCTCTGCCTCCCTCCTCTCTGTCTCTCATGAATGAATAAATAAAATCTTTAAACAAAACAAAACAAAAATAGATACTATTTTACACACTAAATGCCATTAAATTAAAATTCTGGCAGCTAAGCAGAGCTAAACTAGCACATCTCTCTATATAGTTGCAAAACAATTAGAAAATATCTTAGTAAAATAATGATGTCAGTTTTGAAATACCATAACATAACAATAAGTTACATAACAATTCAGTGTTGACCAGGACTCTGTAAAGGGTGTCTTACTGATTAGTGGCAAAAAAAAGATTGGTATAGTCTTTCTGGGAAGAATTTGGCAGTATGAACCAAAAGCCTTTAAAAAGTTTAATAAATATTCTTAAAAAGATTTAAGAAATTTAGACAAAAATAATACATAAAAATTTTCAAAGGATTACCTAATACACTATAAATTTTAAAACAATCTTACTAAGCAATGTAAGCATGGTTCAATAAATTAAGATTGAAGTTATTTACTACTGATGTTATGCAATATTACTGCTATTTAAAAAAAGACTTCAAAGAGGATTTAAGGTTCAGAGTACATGCGTATATCATACTCTTATGATTTTTAAAAGTAGGATAAGGTTCAAAATTGCACATGTAATATGATTTAACTACTAAAAGATATGGGAAAATACAGGAAAGAAGCATATAACATTAACAGTAACTATATCTGGGGGTATAATAATAGATTTTTAAAAGAAACTTTGTTCCTTTGTATTCTCCTACAAATGCACTTAGTTTATAGTTAAAAAGAAGAAAACTACATATTAAATAACTCTGGGAAGGAAAAGGAAAAAATAAGAACAAAAGAGTTCCATTATGCCTACCTCCAATAAAAATAGAGATCTCTAGTATGAAAGAATCAACACAACTCTGAAACTGCCAAATTCATACCAGGAAGTTATCGTATTCACAAGTTGTTTTTGGTCCACTTATCAATGACAAAGGACTGCTGAGGCCAATACAGCAAAGAAATATGGCATATCTTATTTTATATTTTTCCTTCCAGTAAAGCTTGATAGGATTTGAGCCTCATACTTTGCCAATATAAAAATACACTGGAGTTTATAATACAGACATCCATTCAGAAGGGTGCTGTATCATTGCTTTTTTCAACATTTGTGCTTTTATGGATTAGAATATGAGGTTGCTAGTAAATAAACCTGGCTGATTCAAAGGTGAAAAAAACATAAATTTCATTACAAGTTATTAAACTTACTCATTTCTTCAGTCATTTCCATTTTCATGTTTTCCTTCTGGAAATTCTGCATTGTTTGTAATGTCTTCTGTGGATCCATCTTCTTGTTAACTGCTTGCATTGTCTTTAAATAGATGAAAAGATTCATGTTGGCTACATAATTGTGACATTTTTACTATGAAATAAGTCCAAAGAGAACATATCAAATTAGATATAGGCTTTCTAAAGATATACATCCTGCCATAATCAAACATAAGACTGTTAAGTATTCTAGAAAAAAATGAAACCATCTGCTTAACATTTATGCAATAAAAAACAGGGTGAGAAAAAAACTCATATGAACAGTAGGCAAAAAAAAAAGTAATTAAAAAACACTGTCAACAAAAAAAATCCATTGCTATTCAAGTGAGAAAACTACATTTGCCTATTATGTGGCAAGCAGGTAATGTCTAAATTGAAAAGAATTGCAATTTAAATTTTACAAAATTTTTCATTAAGCTTTTGAGGTCTAAATTAAAAAGTTAACAAATTAACATTTGTTAACATGACATTAACATTAACAAATTTTTAACCACAGTTTCAAGAAATGAACATTACATAAATTTTACAAAAAATATGTGCCAAGAATTTCAAAAGTTATTTCATTAAAAGGGATTAAAGCTATCTAATATGGCCAAAACATTTTATACATAATACATATAAAATTTTTCAGTATAGGTGCCTAGGTGGCTCAGTAGGTTAAGCATTAAAAGACACCATACAATATAAAAACACACCAGTTTCAAAGATACTAAGCAGTCTTTTCTCAATCTATACAATGCTACAGCCAAAGTAACCTTGGTATAACACTGGATTTTCCCCATCCCTCTCCAGCCCACACACCTCTGAAGTGGTTTTCCATTGTTCTTAGCATTAAAAGCCAAATTCCATAATTCACTATGAGACCCAACACCACTGAATTCTGCTTAACAAGCTAATCTTACTGTGCACCACTGCCCTCTAGTCACACAGATCTTTCACTTCCTTAAATGTACCATATTCTCTCTTGCCATAGGACCTATGCATATACTGTCTCACACTTGGAAAGCTCCTCTACATTTGTTTTTACTATCAACACTCCAGATTTCACCATTTTCCTAGGGAAGTAGTCCCTGACATCCTTGATTAGAATAGATAACCCTCTTAAATTCTATTTCACTGTAGATGAAATTCCCTATTTACTGATGTGTATTATTTTACTTCACTTGCAACCTAAAGTACTGCTGTACCTAATACTACTAACAACAATAATAATAAAGTAGTAACTGTCAATATAGTCTTAATTATGTGCCAGACAGTGTTCAAAGTACTTTGTGTATAACGTTTAAAGTTAAAAGACATTTATTTAAACCTGACAAATCTTTTATGTACTAGTTGCCCCCATTTTCCCTGTATTAAAAATGGAGAATGAAGGCACAGAGGGCAAATAACTTGCCAAAAGACACAAAGCTAAATGAATAGAAATAAGATTCAAACTCAAGTAATCTGGTCCAGAATAGAATGTATGTTACTAATTGCCACACTAAACTACTTCTCAAATAGGCTGTTTTTGAAACAGATCGTAGGGAGGTACCAGAGTGATTCAGTTGGTTGAGTGTCCACCTCTTGATTTCAAGTCATTTCATCAGGACCCTGGGATTGAGCCCAGGGTTGGACTCCAAGCTCAGCACAGAATCTCCTTGTCCTTCTCCTCCTGTTCCTCTTCCCACTCACTCTCTCAAATAAATACATAAATAAAATCTGAAATAGACTGTACAGTTCAAACCCTTGCCTAGTTTTGCTTTCCACTTTATCCCCATCATTTGTTATACTTCCTACCTATAAAGTTTAAACAAATATTTGCTGAGTTAATACATTTCTTAAAAAAAATAAGTGAAAATTCTAGTTCAGATATCTCTATACAATTACTTCTATATGGCAGGACCGTATTTGGTACCTTTTCCTAGCCTAATACCTGCCAAAAAAAAAAAATACAAAATACAAAATAAGCAGTTTTCCCCTTACTATAATTGAAAGGTTACCCATCTCAAGTGTGTGATCAACACATACGATCTTTTCCCAAATTAGATGTTTGGTTCTGTCCAATTGTAAAAGACCAAAGGAAAACAAAAGTTTTTGCCCTTAACTGTGTAATTTTCACTGTAGAAAATGGATCTGTAAAAGATCCACCAAGAGTTAGTTAACTGACAAAACAAAACTTGTATTGAAACTTCCTCTATTTTTTTTAAAGAACATAATGTGTCACTATACTTACTGCACCAAAGATGGATAAATTCTATTTTCATGTGCTCTGTAACCTAAAACACAATTATAGTTGCTCCTCATTATTTTTGGATTCCATGTTTGTGGATCTGCCTCCTCACTAAAATTTATTTGTAACCTCAAACCAATACACACAGAACTTTTGTGTTCCTCTCTAGACACACAGAGAACAGCAAAAAAATGTGTTACCCAACATGCTTATTTCTAGCTGAGGTTGAACAAGGTGACACTCTGCCTTACTGTGGTCTACTTAGTGCCACATTTTTGTACCCTTTGTTGATTTTTCCATTTAAAATGGCCCCAACCATAGTACCAAACTGTTGTATAGTGTTCCTAAGTGCATGAAACTATGACGTGTTCCTGGAGAAAATACACGTTAACAGCTTTGATTAGGCATGAGTTCAATGTTAATGAATCAACAGAATTTATTAAGTACAGTGTCTTTCAATAGAAACACATAAAACGTTAAGTATAAGCTGGTTGACAAAAATGTTGTGACCAAAGGCTCAGAGGAACGAACCCTGTATTTCCCCTAGTAGCAATGGTTTGATATTCACTAATTCAGTACAGTGAACTTTACAGAACATTAACTACTTCAAATAATGAGAATCAACTGTACATACCATTTTTCTAATATAAACCTCCTACTTTCTCTCCTCTGTGGCTTTCTTTTCTTTTGGTCTTCATATGCCTACTTCTTTATATTTAATACCTAGTGGTATTTTTAAGACCTAGGTCTTCTGCAAAGTCTTTCAGATCATTCAATTTAAAGATTTGTGCAATTCATTGAAACTTAATGCAAACTGATATATATTGTAGGTAGTTTCCCTGTTAGATATAGCTTAACCTCCCTGCTCCCCAACCTCATCCCCAAATGAACTATAAAATCTGTGAGGGCAGGGCCTTTGTCTAAAATGTCTTCTTAGTCTTTAGAGTACTTCATATATATCAAGGGGGTCCATTATTTATTAAAAATGAAAAAGCTTAGGGGCGCCTGGATGGCTCAGCCAGTTAACTGTCCAACTTGATTTTGGCTGAGGTCATGATCTCAAGGTCATGAGGTCAAGCCCTGCGTCAGGCTCTGTGCTGAGCATGGAGCCTACTTAAGATTCTCTCTCCTATTCCCTCTACCCTCCACCCCACCGCACTCTCTCTCTCTAAAAAAAGCTCAGAGTCCTTTAAACTCTATAGTAAAAACATTTTTTTATATAAAGGCCAGAAGTTGGGCAGCCCTGGTGGCCCAGTAGTTTGGCGCCACCTTCGGCCTGGGGTGTGATCCTGGAGACCTGGGATCAAGTCCCACGTCAGGCTCCCTGCATGGAGCCTGCTTCTCTCCCTCTCCCCTGCCTGTGTCTGCCTCTCTCTCTCTCAGTCTGTCATGAATGAATAAACAAAATCTTTAAAAAAAAAAGGCCAGAAGTTAAACATAAGTTCCTGATAAAAATTGATAAATCCTCCTGACAGAAATCATGTATCTCTCTGACACATGAAAATGAATCAAGAGCAAATTATTACTCAAAAGTAATCAAAACTTATAGCTTAATGAACTAAGACCAAAAATCTTCTGACAATGTAAGGGAAAAAAGCAAACAATATTTTAAGTCAGTTTAAAAAATTTAGAGGCTACACATGACCTTGGGACAATCAAAATGTCCTGAAACAAGAGATTTTACAATATAACAAATTAATAAAAAATCTATACACAACTGTAACTAATATAATAATGTAAGTTAACTATACTTAAAAAATCTAGACGTAGTTATTTGGATTATGTAGTATTATAACTCCTTTTATTAAATATTTCACAGATTCTGTACCACATATACATCAGGAGGTACTTTTAAATCTGATTTGAATACTGACATTTAAATGTCTTAGATAAAATTACAAATGTATGGATATAAAGGTCCCCACTTACTTTGGCTGTAGTAGACATTGCTCCTGCCATCTTCATCTGGGAATTCATCACTTTTGTTTGTGTCGACATAGAAGTGACTTTTGAACTTACAGCAAAAGTTCTTGTTTTCTGTTTCCGTAGATGTACAAGCTGCTTGGCTAAAACTCTGCAAGCTTCTTTATTACCAATCTTAGCCATTTTCTTAATTTCTAATTCCTAAGAAAGGAAATAAAAAGCAGAGAATAAAATCATTGATAGGTAGTCCCCAGTGATTTATTTTAGAAGAAAATCAAAGACACATCATATACCTTTTTTTTCCCTGATCATGAAGAGAGGAAGAGGCAGTCATAAAGTCACAGAGATAAAGAGTAATCTGAGAGGGTAATTCATTCCACATGTTTACACAGGAAAGACAGAACTAGTACCTTCATCCACAAATGCAAAGCAAAGTTTATATAAAACAATATTTACAAAGAGCCCAAAAGAAAATGAAAAAGCTCAAATCAAAAGTCAGTAGGAAAAAGAAAAAAAAAGAGAGTTGGTGGGACGGAGCAAAAAGAGCACAGTGGTAGGTTTAAAGCTAAGTGAGAAGGTTCACCTACCACCTCAGTAAAAGCAGGTTGTCATTTTAGATAAGGACATAAGCTGTGCTATATTCTGTATCAAGAAAACTAATTACAAAAACACAGCTAAGTAAAAGGATAGAAGATATATCCCATACAATTACTAAAATCTGAAAATCAGGAGTGGGTACATGAACAACAGATCAAACACACAAACAAGCTTGAGAACAAGGAATATTACCAGAAATAAAAAAGGGCATTTCATAATTATAAAGGAATCAATAAAGATGTTAAAGCAACCCTATATGAGCATGTACCTAAGAACAGTGCTTCAAAATATGTGAAGCATAACTGACAGAACTGGAAAGAGAAACAAATACACAATTAGCAGGAGAAATATCAACAACTCCCCTCTGAAGGACATTGCTATAACTGTTAGAACAAGTGGACAGAGAATCTGCAATGAGACAGAGTTGCAAAAAATACTATCATCAACTTGACCTAACCAACATTTATAAAAACTTCATCACTAAAAACAGAATACTTGTTTTTTGTAAGTGTACACTAAAAAAGAAAATCACCAAATATATTTTCCATCAGAAAACAAGACTCAGTAAATTTAAGAGGACTGAAATCATACAAATCATGTCGTTCCCTAACCACAATGAAATTAAACTGAAAATCAGTAAGGAAAAGAAAGGAATATCATAAATAAGCAGAAATTAAACAACATGGTTCTAAATAAGTTATCAGTTGGAAAAAATCTCAGGAGAAATAAGAGAATATTTTGAACTTAAAAAAATGAAAATGCAACACATGAAAATGTGTGGGCTACCATTAAAATAGTTCCTAGAGGGAAATTTATAGCATTAAAGCTCTTATTAGAAAAAAGGTATCTCAAAGCTTTGAAATTGAAAAGGTAGAAAAAAGAAAAGTAAGTGGCACACTTAGTAAATACAAAGAAAAAAAACAACAATGAAAGAAATCTGTGTAGTAAGAAAAAAATATAGAAAATTAATGATAAAAAGCCCTACCCCTCTGTTTTTTTAAACAAGAGATTGATCAAATTGACAGGCCATCAGCTAGATAGATAAGGGGAATAAATGAGACAAAGAGAACACACAAATTGCAAAGATTAGGAAGGCAAAGGAGGGCATCACTTCATATCCTAAAGATGTTAAAGGATAATACGAGAATATTATGAATAATAGGTCATCACATTTTAAAATTTAGTAGACATGGACACATCACTTGACAGATGTTCACTCTCAAAAGCTTTACTGATGAGTCCTATCAAACATTTAAAGGAAGAATACACAAACTCTTCCAGTAAAGAAAGAGTAAGAGAAATCAAATTATACTTTAAAGTCAGCCTCACTCAGATGTCAAAGACAAATAAAGACACTGCACGAAAACATACAAATCAGTATCTTTCAACCAACATGGGTGCAAATACTCTTAACAAAATTCCAGCATACTGAAAAAAAACATTTCAAAAAAACATGTCATTACCAAAGAGGCTTATCCCAGGAGCAAAAGCTTGATTCAACTTTAGTGACTCAATAAATGTAATTCACTACCTAACAAAGGAGAAAAACTACATAATCTGCATCTCAATAGATGCAAAAGTGAACCTCTACCCTCAGCTGGTTAACACAGTAAAACTCAATTCAATATGTTCACAGTCCTAAATGTAAGAATTAAAACTGTAATTCTTCTAGAAGAAAACTTAAGAGAAAATATTAGTGACTTTCAGTTAGGGAAAGATTTCTTGGGACACTAAAAGTACTACTCATAGAAGAAAAGAATATTGCGCTTGATTAAAATAAAAATCTTCTGTTTCACAAAAAACACTATCAGGAGATTAAAAGACAAGGCCAATAACTGGAGAAAAACATTTGCAAAATGTATATTTAACAACATACTTGTATTTGAAATATGTAAAAAAAACAAAAGCTCTTAAAAGACAGGCACATGAAAAGACACTGAACATCATTAGCAATTAGCAAAATACAATTTAAAATGACAACCCACTATACACCACCAGAATGACAAAAAGACTGTCAACTCCAACTATAGGCCAGGATGTGCAACAACTTTACTTTCATATATAGCTGGCAGGAAGAGAAAACATTACAGCCAGTTTGCAAAATTGTCTAGGAGTTTCTTACACAGTTAAACATACACTTACCCTATGATCCAGCAATCCCACTCCTAGGAGTATACCCAAGAGAAACCGAAACATATGTACACACAAAGACTTCAATTCCATCTTTACAGCAACTTTATTCAAAATAGCCCAAACCTGGAAATAACCCAAATGTCCACTAGCTGGTTAACAGATAAATTGTGAAGTATCCATCTATGAAGTAAATTTTAAAAACTAATAGTGATTATATAACATCAATTAATCTCAAAATAACCGGGTTGAGTGAAGGAAGCCATGTTAAAAAAACAGAGTTCATATTATATGATTCCATTTATATAAAGTCTAGAAAATGTGAACTAATCTACAGCAACAGATCAGTGTTTGCTGGGGAGGGGGAATCAGGGTGGGATAGGTCAAAGACATTACATGATCTCATTCATATATGGAATTCAAGAAACAAAACAGGATCATTGGGGAAGAGAAGAAAAAATAAAACAATGTAAAATCAGAGAGGGAGACAAACCATAAGAGACTCTTAATCAGAGGAAACAAACGGGCTGCTAGAGGGGGGGGGGGGAATGGGGTAGCTGGGGGGATGGGCATTAAGGAAGACACGTGATGTAATGACCACGGGTGTTATTCGAAACTGATGAATCACTGATCTCTACCTCTGAAACCAATAATACATTATATGTTAATTGAATTTAAATAATCTTTTTTTTATAAGTGGAAGCAAAAAAAAAAAAAAAAAGAAGAAAGACATTACAAAGGGAGTAAGGAAATTTTTCAGGCTATGTCCGTTACCTTGATGGCTGTAATGGTTTCATGAGTTTATCCATATGCCAAAATGCATGAAATCATATGTTTTAAATGTTTAGTTTACTGCATGTCGACATTACCTCAATCATGCTGTTTAAAGATTTTAAGCAACATACATTTAAAAATATAAAAATTTTTAAGGTGGGCAAGATATCTATTTTTTAAAAAGTACATTGATTACCACAGGCACAATGATCACTAAAATATCAAATAAGACACCAATGAGTTAATGTAATTATTTCTTGTAATTCAGGATTATTCTGCCTTTGTTTTTAACCAAGAATAAGGTAGCTGCATTTTGAGCAGTATTTCCTCATAAGCATTCATGACTTCTACAAACTGAAGAATAATCTGATTTTATAATCAGCAGGATACACAGAATCCTGATAAAAATCATCAGAATGACACAATAAACAAAGGTAAGCAGAAAAGGCAGGAAGGCATTAAATGCCATTTCTTAGTAAATCACCACCTGCCATGTGTCTTTGTCTTAGCTAATTATTCTAACATTAATTTCTGAATTTTTTTGAAAAGTTAAACTGAAATTTAATGTTCTACTTACCAGCTGTTTTTCTTGTTTCTCTAAAGCTGCTCGATCTCTGATTATAGCTCTCTGCGTACCTCGTAATTCTCGATTCTGTTCTTTTATTACATCTAAGAGAACCACAAAAAAAACCTAAATGTATGAATTCTAAAATTTTCTTCAATACCAGTTGAAATATTAGACTTGGAGACCTTAATAAAAAAAGAAACCTTGATTCACTAGATGTTAAAACTTTTCATTCAATACACTAAAAAATTGTCAAATACTAATACTTGGATTATAAATATTAATTATATAAAGAATTACAAGATACTTACAGATATGCTATAGTCTGAGATTTAACCAAAAGTGTATATAAATCACAATAAAATATTCCTTTAGAGAACTGATAGTATGCAATGCTTTATGTGGCACATATCATGTGTGTCTCTCACTCTTCCTCACACACACACATACAATTTCTCATCTTTTCCTCTGCCAGTATTAATTAAATTCCAGGAAGGAAGATAGATCATGTGTTTATTAAATCCTTTTTCTACTCTACAGTGAAGCAGCAGACCTTCCAATGAGGCAGACCTGGATTTGAATCCTCCCTCTGCCACTGGGTCATTATATGATGATATCTTGGCAAAATTATTTAATATTCTAAACTTCAGGGTTCTTATTCATAAAATAAGGATATTATGAAGGTGTAAGCAGCATAATGTCCTGATATACTTTTAAATTTCCACTTGATCTTAATGTTTTTTTAACTTATCTCAATTCATTTGGATTCATTATGGATTCATTAGTCCCATCTTTTGAAGAATTAAAGTATTAGTCTAGGCCTGATGGACCATAAATTGGGTTAATTGTTACTAAATAGTAATTTCTTCACAAATCACAGATATGGATGGTAATTCTTGCCAAAACGGATCTCTCATTATCAGGAATCTTGCTAAGTGGTGTATACCTAGTATATAATATTCACAACAATGCTATGGAGTTGCTTTTTCTATATTCGAAGAAAATTGAGTGTTAGGAAGTTTAAATAACTTGTCCAAGGTCACAAGGTAGTAAGTAGTAATGCCAGATTTAGATCCAAGTGTTCTGTCTCCTAATCTTAGTCACTTCATTAGAGTACCTTTCCAGTCAAGAGGTAGATTTAAGAACAACTGTAACAGAGAAAATGGTCTCTTCATCAAATGGCATTGAGACAACAGAATGCCCACATGAAAAAGAATGAAACCGAACCCCTACATCACAATGTACATAAAATTAGGGGCATCTGGGGGACTCAGTTGGTTAAGGTCCAACTCTTAATTGGCTCAAGTCATGATCGTGAGATTGAGTCCACACTGGGCTCCAGGCTTGGCATGGAGTCTGCTTTATTTATTTATTTTTTGAGTCTGCTTTAAAGTCTCTCCCTTCCTCTATCCCCTTCTGCTGCTCACATGCACATGCTCTCTCTAAATAAATATTTATTTTTTAAAAAATTAACTGAATAAAGGATTAATACCCAAAATATAAGAAATGAAATAATAGAATTCTTAGAAGAAAACATAAGAATAAATCTGCATGATCTGGGATTTGGCAATAAATTCTTAAAAGCATGGGCAACAAAAGAAAAATAGATAAGGTGGACTTCATGAAACTTAAAGGCTATGTCCCAAAGGACATTATCAATTTTTGGAAAGACATTGTACAGAAAGGGAGAAAATATATACAAACTATATATGTGTTAATAGTCTAATATCCAGAATATTATATGGAACTACTAAAACTCAAAAACAAGACAATCTCATTAAAAATGGTTGAAGGATCTGAATAGAACTTATCCCAAGGAGATACAGCAATGGCCAATAAACACATAAAGATGCTCAACATCATTAGTCATAAGGGAAATGAGAAATACTTCACATCCACCAGAATGGCTATATTCAAAAACAAAAGTGGAAAACAACATGTGTTATTGAAGATGTGAAGATCGGTACCCTTATATTTTGCTGGTAGAAATGTAAATGGTTTCAGCCACTTTGGATAACAATTTGGTGGCTCCTCAAAAAGATAAATATAAAATGATCATATGACCCAGTAATTCCACTTCTAGGTATAAGAAGTTTTATAAAAAAAAAAAAAAACTAGTATCAGTAGTACTGATACTACATTAATAAATCTCAAAAATATTATACTAAGCAAAAGAAGCCAGATATAAATGGTCACATTTTATGATTATGCTCATATGACATATGAGAAAAGATAAATCCATGAAGATAGAAAGCAGACTGGTAGTTGCCAGGGGTTGGAGAAAAAGAATGCAGAGTCATTGCTTCACTTGTATAGGATTTTACTGTGAGGTGATAATGTTTTGGAAGTAGAATGGTGGTACTTCAACAGTGGTATATAACCACGAAATGCCACTAAATTGTTGTTCACTTTAAAATGGTCAATGTTATGTGGATTTTACCTCAAATAAAACAAGAGCCAACACCCATTATCCTTTTACTAATGGAACATCACAATTTATGTTCTACACATTTCTTTGTATAACATATAACTTTACTGAGTCAGAATAAAAACTATATTGAGGAATAGGCACTATACTACGTGGTTCACAACAACCACAAAGGTAAGTACTATTATCTCACTTTTTTTTTTCAGAGGAGGGAATTGATATTTGGTGAGGAAATCTGCCCAAGGAAGAAACAGTGCTAGGATTCTTGTACAGGTGGTCTGATTCCAGGGCCTCTGATTGTAACTACTATATTATGCTGTGAATGAACCTTTTAGAAAAACAAGAAATAAAGTTATCAGAAACATAATTCTTATAAATATAGACCTGTATTAATAAAATTGTACAGGATGAAAAACATTTCAAGTCATTATATAAAGTATAACTAATCAACTACAATGACTTTCTGAATAAAAGGTAAAATAAGATGCCAGAGCTCCTCCTTACATCTATTTCACCTCCTTTGCATACTATTTCTCAATGAAGTTATATTGGTGGACATCTCATGCTCAGGATTTTCTAGGGATGTCATTTTGTAAGTTCCTTAGATACAGAAAATCATATCATATGTATAAGGGAAATGGAGGGGGGCGCCTGTCTCTCCTGCCACCTACTTTATTCTGGATGGGCAACACATTTCACTTAAAAAAGAGAAAGAAATGTTCCATAGATAAATATATTTAGGAAGTGTTAAAGTTTTGTTGTTGTTTTTAAAGATTTTACCTGTTTATTCATGAGAGACAGAGAGATAGAGAGGCAGAGACACAGGCAGAGGGAGAAGCAGGCTCCCTGCGGGGAGCTGAATGTGGGACTCAATCCTGGGACTCCAGGATCATGCCCTGAGCTAAAGGCAGTCGCTCAACCGCTGAGCCACCCAGGCATCCCTGGATAAAATTGGGAAAAAAAAAATGCAGTCAATTCTTAAGGGGAGGAATATATGGTAGATTATTTCCCAAAATTATTTATTTTTTAAAAGATTTGTTTATTTATTTACTTACTTAAGAGGGAAAGAACACATGCACAAGCAGGGGGAGGAGCAGAGGGAGAGGAAGACAGACAGACTCCCCACTGAGTGGGGAGCCCAACATGGGGCTTGATCCCAGGACCCTGAGATCATGGCCTGAGCTAAAATCAAGTGTCAGACGCTTAACCAGACTGAGCCACCCAAATACCTTTATATCCAAAATTTATTAATCCAAGGATCTCCTTTAAGAAATTTCTATTAACATTTCCTAGATCCAGTGTTCCATGGAGCACTGGTTGGCATGCTATTTTAAAATAACGCGGTTTTTTAGTTTCCTAGGGCTGCTATAACAAATACCATAGACTGGGTAAACAACAAACTAATTTTCTTACAGATCTGGAAGCTGAACGTCCAAGATCAAGGTGTTGGCAGGTTTGGTTTTTCCTGAGGCTTCTCTCTTTAGCATGCAGACGGCTGCCTTCTTGCTGCATCTTCACATGGCCTTTTCTCTGGGTGTCTCTTCCTCTTCTTTAAGGTCATCCTCTATTGGATTAGGGCCATACCCTCATAACCTCATTTAACCTCAGTTACCTCTCTACACACCCTATATCCAAATACGGTCACATTAGGGGTTAAGACTTTAACATATGAATTTTGTGGGCATACAATTCAGTCCACAGTATCTTTCCTCTGACAACTGTAGATAGACAATAAACAGCAAAGCTGTTTTCCCTAGCTTTAAAAGCAGTCATCAGTCATTTTCATCCTCAATACTCAAACACTCCCAATTTTCTTCTTTTGAACTTAGAACGCTACTTGCCAAAGCCAATGAACTGGTATAAAAAAATTATGCACTCACCCTACTATTTTAACAGAAAGTGTTCTATATACAAAAGTATGAAATTACAAATAAACTCTTGGAGTATTGCTTTTTTTTAAAGATTTTATTTATTTATTCATGAGAAAGAGAGAGAGAGAAAGGCAGAGACACAGGCAGAGGGAGAAGCAGGCTCCATACAGAGAGCCCGACATGGGACTCAATCCTGGGTCTCCAGGATCACTCCCTGGGCTGAAGGCGGTGCTGAACGACTGAGCCACCAGGGCTGCCCTGGAATATGACATCTTTGTGTACTGACAACTCCCTAAACCCAACTAGTATAAAATGAAAAGGTAATACTGGGATAGTGATGAGGGTCTTCTAAAGCCATTAGAGTACAGAGGTGAAAGAGAAGCCACCATATTGACAAGTTAAATTGTGGACAGACAACTGACACAGATGCAAAGCAATTGCTGAAAGCTTTGACTACTAAGATCTAGAATTCTATCAATACATACTTTTTCATTATGAGAGTGCTATAATATATAGTAACAAGTTAATATTTGATCTTTGTCTTGAATTCCTGGCACAGAGCTCCTAAAACCCTTGGAATTTCCTTAGCAATAGGAATATCTTTTAACTCAAGAAAGGGAACCCCTAGATAGTTTTTATAGGAAGCTGGTTACTAGAAAGAACAAATGCTTGATTAGCGGGTAGGAAGTTCAGCCCCACCAACCTGACCTCAGAAGAAGGGAGTGAGGCTAAAGATTGGGCTAAAAAAAAAGATTGGGCTAAAAAAACTCCTGACTAATAAGATGAGGAGAGCTTCTGGGTTGGT